ATAGGCTTCTGAAAAGGTCATAAATCGTCGTATCGCATGCATTAAAGGCGTTTTAGACCATCCGTTTTATTCTCATTCCACGCATTCTAGGTTAAAATTAAAACACAAGTAGAACGTTTTTCATCATTATTACATTTAAACATTTCAATAAATATTAAATAATTTCATCTTCTATCGTTTTTAGTGTTTGGCCAATTGTACCAATTTCTTTAATCTTTTTGTTAGATTACTTACTGTTAAGCAATTTATTTTTTAATTTTAACCAAAATTTGAAAACGAACAATAGCAAAATTTCAATAGATTAATATTTGAATGTACCATGTTCAAGTTTTTTTAGATAGGCATTAAAAGGTTCAGAATTTATTGTTAGTTACACTGCGCAGAATCAGACGTAAAATTGATTCTTACTTGACCACTTTCTCGCAATAGTTGTCTGAAAGTTTAGTAATATTATTTTTATGGCAATATCGTCATAAGCATGTGTGTCTTACACAGTGGAAATGCCGACAAAATACATAATGCATTATGCAAACGAAGACAAGGTTGACTAAATTACATAACAAAAACAAACTTTCTTTTATACCTTAAAGCCATTTTAATCAACCGTATAGATATCCATATGTAATCTTAACCCATGCGTGCGATTTATATATCCATAAACTTTAGTACAAGATATTCAGATTTTGTAAACCCGACCAATAAAGTACATAATTGTAGAAAAATTGCCACTCTCACAAGAGTACGTTCCCTCAAATCTGTGAGAATTTTTCAAAACGAAATTTTAATAACTGTAAATTTCGAGGTATCCTAACTACAGACCAAGTATAGAGGATAAAAGGGTAATTGAGAAGATCATTTTCCTTGATATCAAACTGCGAACCAAACCTTATCTCCGGGGGTTTGAATTCATTAATAATCTTAGATCAACAACATAAAGTAAAACAACCTTCAAACCAAAAGTCGTATTAAAAACTATTCCAAAATTATATATCCAACGCCTTTTATATGTGCTTCATTCTACGTACTTCCTTTCTACCTTGTACCCTATTCTCCTCGCCATAGTAACTTCTCAACCCCATTCTTATTCCCTACGAAATGTCCGTTTCCTTTCACTTCATCTTTTTAAGTTGTTCTGGTCCTAGTTTAAACCATTCGTTACCGCTTTATTCATTATATTTATCCAATCTTTGTTCCTGTGGTTTTCCATTTGTGTCTTTCTCCAGTTCTTTCATCTTTTCAAAAACAAAACACTAGAAATACAAGTTTGTTATCCCTCTAGGATCCAAATTAAATTAAATAATTATTCCTTTTTGGCATTTGTTATGTTATACAAAGGAATGAAAGATATATCATAAAAAATGTTCTGCGCCATATGTGAATATGAAAATAAAAGTAATTCGGGAATGTTGAGATTAAAGATAAAAATTAAAAAAAAAAAAAGATGTTGCACCGACAGGAAAATGAGCCGAGACCACCATGGCAGATCTAATAACATTCGAATGCGTAAGGAATACTGTGATTGTAACTTTATATTTGCAATTGTTTTATAAAGTGTCAAAGGTTGAGATTAAAATTCATTGGTATAAACGTGCAATGTATTAGTATTATCTAATTTGAAAGCAAATTCTCCAAACATCAACCACACATGATTTGCAGTCGTATATAAAAAATCATACATTCGTGTGTTCCATGTGATACGCTTATACCTATTAACATCAGTTTCTTGGATCATTATAAATTTAGTAAAGTGGTTAAATACGTAGTAAAACTTAAATGGAAACTTCCTCTGTTTAATAAGATCTCCACCTATTTAATTAAATTAACCAATTAAGTAGGTAATAAGGCACACGTTTAATTTAGTACCTAATGTCTAACGAGTAGTAAATTCAACAGTTATCAACTGAACCGGTCCATTCTTGCTTTTTAGCCTTTTTAGCTCTGCGTGTTACAACTAACTGTATGCGGTTTTTCCCACAAGTGGGTCATCGTGGCTCATAATAATACGTTTAGTAAGAAACGGTGAGAAACGGTCTTTGGCACTGCCCATGATTTGCCCACTTCATTTCTATTACGATCACGTGACATTATCACTTTCCTTAACCCTCTGCTACTAATGAGACTATATATAAAACTATAGACGACGATAAGGACCTCATTTAATAACACGACGTGTGTCCGTGAAGTGTACGGGTTCCTTAAACGTTAAACGACAACCATCAATAGCTTAATAATAGCATAATGAAACTGTTACTATTGCTTCTCCTGGTTGCTGTTGTAGCTGCTGACAAATATACAACAAAATACGACAATGTCGACATCGACAGGATTCTTTCAAACCAAAGGGTTCTCACAAATTACATCAAATGTTTAATGGACGAGGGACCATGCACTTCAGAAGGAAGGGAGCTCAAAAGTAAGTGGCAACTTCTTCATTTTAATAAATTATTTTTCACTGTTTTTTTTTTTTTTTTTGAATTAATTTAATCATTACTTTCTTTGACCTGCGACTTCGTCCTCATGAACCTTTGTCGATTTTTTTTATGATAAATACAGTTATTATAATTTAGAAAAGTATCCTAGATTACCCCTACTAACTTCATTTGCATATTTCTATTATTTCATCGAAATCGGTTCAACAGCTGCAAAGATTACCCCGTACAGACAGACATACGAAAGGTTTTCATAAAAATAGATAGAAAAAAAACGACCTTAATTAAATTTCATTTAAATAGTGTTAGGGTTAGACTTAGGTGGTGCAAATATTACACAATTTTTCAATAAATGGTGACAGAAAATGTTTAAATGAGTAGTCACTATTATGCGAATGTGAAAGTAATCAAAAAGGCCGGTGCAACAAACTCACTACCACTACTATATAAATATAAGGCAAATATAATAAATATAAGGTAAATATACTCTGATGCACGTTTTCTATTGAAAATTCATATCCCCTTTTAATATATTATTTATTAGTTATACCTTACATTGAAACCTATCGAATTCTTTATGTACCTAGCAATAATTAACTGTATGTACCTAATGCCTTTGTAGTTTTCAAAAAGTGTTTCTATTACCTGTGTATATTGTTTTTAACTGAAACAGTAACTCACAATGATATTTAAAATGATGAAACCATAAAAAATAAAGCAATTTTTAGTACTTAGTTGCGGCCATGTTTCAAGAATATCTGTAAATATCAGGGAAAATTTTCTTGAATAATTACGAAAGTGAAAAGAAATAAAATAATTAAAGAATTTATTACAGTAATAAGAAAATAAATAATCAGATATTTTATTTGAATGACCACATACTAATTACTGTAGGTCCTTGCTTCAAAATATAAACTAAGTTGGAAAAAATTTGATATTTTCCTTCATAAAAATCTAGAATAGAAATAATAAATTTCATTTGTAGTAGACTAGACTAGTGGATCTAGGTTAAAATTAAAACACAAGTAGAACGTTTTTCATCATTATTACATTTAAACATTTCAATAAATATTAAATAATTTCATCTTCTATCGTTTTTAGTGTTTGGCCAATTGTACCAATTTCTTTAATCTTTTTGTTAGATTACTTACTGTTAAGCAATTTATTTTTTAATTTTAACCAAAATTTGAAAACGAACAATAGCAAAATTTCAATAGATTAATATTTGAATGTACCATGTTCAAGTTTTTTTAGATAGGCATTAAAAGGTTCAGAATTTATTGTTAGTTACACTGCGCAGAATCAGACGTAAAATTGATTCTTACTTGACCACTTTCTCGCAATAGTTGTCTGAAAGTTTAGTAATATTATTTTTATGGCAATATCGTCATAAGCATGTGTGTCTTACACAGTGGAAATGCCGACAAAATACATAATGCATTATGCAAACGAAGACAAGGTTGACTAAATTACATAACAAAAACAAACTTTCTTTTATACCTTAAAGCCATTTTAATCAACCGTATAGATATCCATATGTAATCTTAACCCATGCGTGCGATTTATATATCCATAAACTTTAGTACAAGATATTCAGATTTTGTAAACCCGACCAATAAAGTACATAATTGTAGAAAAATTGCCACTCTCACAAGAGTACGTTCCCTCAAATCTGTGAGAATTTTTCAAAACGAAATTTTAATAACTGTAAATTTCGAGGTATCCTAACTACAGACCAAGTATAGAGGATAAAAGGGTAATTGAGAAGATCATTTTCCTTGATATCAAACTGCGAACCAAACCTTATCTCCGGGGGTTTGAATTCATTAATAATCTTAGATCAACAACATAAAGTAAAACAACCTTCAAACCAAAAGTCGTATTAAAAACTATTCCAAAATTATATATCCAACGCCTTTTATATGTGCTTCATTCTACGTACTTCCTTTCTACCTTGTACCCTATTCTCCTCGCCATAGTAACTTCTCAACCCCATTCTTATTCCCTACGAAATGTCCGTTTCCTTTCACTTCATCTTTTTAAGTTGTTCTGGTCCTAGTTTAAACCATTCGTTACCGCTTTATTCATTATATTTATCCAATCTTTGTTCCTGTGGTTTTCCATTTGTGTCTTTCTCCAGTTCTTTCATCTTTTCAAAAACAAAACACTAGAAATACAAGTTTGTTATCCCTCTAGGATCCAAATTAAATTAAATAATTATTCCATTCCGTTTGAGAACTTTTTTTATCAATATCGCATAGCTCACAAAGATAGATAGCATTAATTTTTTTCCTACCTAGTTTACATAGAGTAGGGAAGGAAAATCTATATATATA